GGAAATGTTGGGACAGTACGGCTCCGATGGCGAAGTCGGAGGCGTCAGTGGTGACATAGAAATGGCGAGTGGGGTCGGCAATCTTGAGGACAGGGACCGTGGTGATGGTTTGCTTGAGTAAGTCGAAAGCTTGTTGGCGGCGATCGTTCCAATRGAAAGGCTCGTCCTTGCGGGTGAGTTCGTGGAGAGGGTAAGAGATCTCGGAAAAGTTGCGAATGAACGGGCGGTAATAGTTGGCAAGGCYAAGAAAGGAACGGAGTTGGAGGAGGGTCTTGGGTGGGGGGTACTCGACGAGGGCTGTGACCTTTGAGGGGTCCATACGGATGCCTTCAGCGGAGACAATATGGCCGAGGTATTCGACGCTCGAAGCGGCAAACATACATTTGTTGAGCTTGGCATAGAATTTTTGCTCTCGGAGGATCGCGAGGACTTGGCGGAGGTGCTGAAGGTGGGACTCGAAGGTGGGGCTGAAGACAAGGATGTCATCAAGGTTGACAACGACACAGACTTCGAGGAGGTTGCGAAAGATGTGGTTCATGGTGGATTGGAAGGTAGCAGGGGCATTGGTGAGTCCGAATGGCATCACGAGGAACTCGTAGTGCCCGAACCGAGAGCGGAAGGCGGTCTTGTGAGTGTCCTCCTCGCGGATACGGATCTGGTGGAAGCCACTACGAAGGTCGATCTTGGTAAAGTACTTGGCTCCACGGAAACGATCAAGGAGCTCGGAAATCCAAGGTAGGGGGTACTTGTTCTTGATCGTGATCCGGTTCAAGGCGCGGTAGTCTGTGCACATGCGGAGTTCCGAAGTTCCACCTTTCTTGACGAAAAGGCAGCTGGTTCCGAAGGGGGATGAACTTGGCTTAATGAACCCTTTTTCAAGGAGTTCACCGAGTTGCCATTTCATTTCTTCGGCTTCGGAGACAGAGAGTTGGTATGGAGGGCGGCAAGGTGGAGAATGTCCGGGTTCCAAATCGATGGTATGCGATACGCCACGATCCGGAGGTAGTCCGGCGGGTAAGGACTCGGGAAAGACGTCCCTGAACTCGTCGAGGATTGAAGTGATGGCGGGGTTGGAGGGCGGGGCTTGATCGGGTTTGTCCGTCGGGAGTAAGTCCTTGGGACTTTCGCGATCAAGGACAAGACAGTAGTAGGCGGAGTCGGGGTTTAGGCGAGCCATGTGGAGGAATTGGTGTGGGGTGACAGAGCCTAGGGAGGTCGGATATGGGAGATAGGGGATGTCAATGGTTGTGTTGGGGGGGGTGGTGAGGCGAAGGAAGTTGGGGTGGAATGCGTATGGCATGTAGCGGTCCAGCCACGGGGTTCCTAAGACGATGTCGCACATCAAGTGCATGACATCAAACGAGACCTGACTGCGGAGGGTTCCGACGGTCATGATGGTCTCGGGAACCGTGCGGTCTACTACGACGGCGGTGTCTTTGTCCCCTAGGCGAATCGTGATCGGGGAGTCATAGCAGGTAGAGGTAAGACCGACTTTGCGGACACACGCGTCGGTGATGAAGTTACCGGTGGCTCCAATGTCGAGGAGGACCCGGAACTTAGTTGTAGACGCACCAAGGGTGGCARCGATGAATTTGAGGTGGAAACGAGATGAGTTGGCGGTGGAGATGATGGTGTTGAGGCGGCGTTGYTCGTTGCCTAAGCGGACAAGCCGATCGTGTCGGGCTTGTTCCTCAACAACATCGGAGAAGGTGATAGCGGATGCATTTGGAGGAATGGTAGAGGAGCATGAGGCAGTGGGAGGTGTTTGCGACGCCTGGGAATCGTCCGGTGGAGGGGGCGTCGCCGGAGAGGGGGAAGGCAAACG